AAGTACACATTATGGCCCGCGCGGGCATAAAGACGCAAAAAACAGTTTTCAATTAACTTATTCTTTATTAACAAAATATAAATTTACGCTTATAAACATATTATTTTTGTCAAAAAATGATGATGTTTACACACTGATGACAATTTGCGAAGTGACAATTTTTTCCCAGGTATTTATTATTCACAACCAACTGGTATGACATAATAGCTATTTATGTACCAAGGGGATTATGTAGATTATAATGCCCGAAGGCGAAACTAGCCCGAGGGCCTATGGCCCGAGGGATATATTTCGCCTGAAGGGCATTATAATCTTGAAATCCCCGTGGTGCATACAATGCTTTATTTTCTACTCAACACAATGTTTTTTCATCAATTTGTTATTAACAAAATCAGTTAAACTTGTGTGACAGAATATTGTTTTGTATTTTGACATGTACCTGTACCTGTGACCTGTACCTGTACCTGCGACCTGTACATAGAAACGAAATAAATTAATATATCTATAAACATCTCATAAGGCAAGGCAACGGTGGTGGTCCTGTGGGTTAACGCGCTGGACTACATGGGAAACGTTGATGGTAGACCGGGTTCGAATCCTGGCTAGAACAAAAATTATTTTCGGTCAGACATTTAGTGGCTGCCTAGGGTAAAGTGCAAATTAATAGAACAACAAAAACACCTTAAGGTATTATAAGCGGGCGTTATAGATCATAACGCCCGCAAAAGCGGGCGTTATGGATCAGGTTGTTATAGGTGTGTTAACGTATTTCGTTTCCTAGGTATTATGGATCTATAATAGTAAAGTAGAAAATAAAAGTTTGTATGCACCACGGGTACTAATAGATATATATACCCTCGGGCGACTTACGAACCCTCGGGCCAGAGGCCCTCGGCTTTGTAAGACTGTCGCCCTCAGGGCATAATCATCTACTTAGTACCCTTGATACATAAATAACTATTATGTCATCATGATGGTCTAGAATTGGCCGAAAGCGCTCGACTTAACTCAAATTATTATAATATACTGTAGTGACGCAGAAATAAACCACCAAGAAAAACCGCCAAGAATAAAATAATTGTTAATGGATCGGGTTATTTTGTTGAAAAATTAAACAAACAACAAACAAAACATAAATCAAACTGGAAAAATAAAATCAAAATCAACTACAACTTACCGAAAATTAAAGACCCCAGGAGACAACAACACTCGACCAGTTACAGCCGGAACTTCTAGTAAAAATGATCTGACCATCGAATAAAGAAATAACCGAAACTGAAATCCCTTCTCAAAAATCCGATAAGTGGGGCCACTCAAAAATAGATGATGTGTCCCTGAAACGCGGCACTTTACTAACATGACGCCATCTGTCACTGAACCCAAATTCCGGGAAAGCACCATAATTCAGGCGCGTGTTGTATGCCGACAAAGAAACGGTGCCGCATTCCACTAAAAAGAGGGCCGAGATGATGAAATCTTGATGTCAAAGCACTCATAAACTTGGGCGAGAAATTAGGAAGGAAGGAGACAATTTTTATATAAAAAGCCTGAATTGCGATAAAAATACCAGTATCGGTTCAAAAGAAGTATCAGTCAAGAACGTTCAAAAGTGTCAGTCGAGAACAGTCAGTCCAGAACGGTCAGTCAAGTGTCAGTCGCAGCAAGCAGAGTCCAAAGTCGAAGATAGTACGAAAAGTTTCAAGGAGGCAGTGCGAAAATTTCGGGTTCATAAAGTCAAGTCGTAAAAATAACGTTTCAGTAATTACGTGTGCCAGTAGAATTTTAAACTAATAAATACATCTTGTCAGTACATTTACACTGTAAAAAGGAAATTTGTACTCTTTATAAAATAGGACAAAAAGTTAATGAATTGATAAATTTACGAAAGTTAAATAATTATCCCAAAAGGAATTAAAACATTTTTAAGATGAAATTTCATGATTAATAGTTGGTGAAATAAGAAAATTTGAAGCTAAATTTTGTAAAATAACTTTTGTTGTTGAAACATATTTCGTTATTAATAATTATTTATAACATTTTGAATTGGGATTTTCGTGATTGATAATTGGAAAAATTTGAACTTTCTAATTTAACATTATTTTTGATAAGGCAAACTTTTGGTACGAAACTTACCTATTGAATATGATAAACTACTAGATGGAATTTTTATAATAGAATTGAGGTATTTGTGAGAAAAGAGTGAAACTTTTAAATAATTCAGAGTAAAAATTTTTGTTATTATATTTCAAGCTTTTCTGGCCGACGCCCGATTAATTTATTTTAAATAAAATCATATTAAAATAATAGTCCACAGTTGTGTTTTACTCTCACACCCGCAAATAGGACCCATATCAATCTGTGTCTCCACTCAAACAAAAGCCGCCGCTCCCAATTCAACATCATATAAGTTTCTGAATTGGGGTCTCATAATACCTACCTAAAACCTAAAACTCTAAAAATATCCACAAAATTCAAATAATACAAGGGCTGCCATCTATCTATCATGTCCGTAAAGTGCGGATATCTTACCGGTACTGCCATCTAGTGCCTGATGGTTTATTTTTCAAAACATGATTTTTGGTTAATTCGCATTTGACAGTCATTTGTATTTTCATTGAAATAAGTTATATTTATCTCACTTTTAGCAAATGGATATATTTCTGTCCTTTTCTAACTTCTGATTCTGAAATAATCATTTTTTGGCTTAATGATCTAATTAATTAACAGTTTTTTTATTTTTGACATAACCTTAATTTATATTATTATAATTTGTAAACAATTATAATAATTTTAGCGGATTTTTATCCATTCTCTTTTATTCCATGCGGTCTTTCATTGTGTTTTCATTTTGAAGTGAATATGGTCTTTTGGGTGTACTCGTCTGATTGGTTGAAGCTGGTTGGAATGCAGTAAGTATAAAAAACACGGGATCGTTTTCCTGCTGGCTGTGGTTTCTAAAACGACCTCTTTTCTTGAAAAATAGTCTGGCAGGCAAGTCCTCTTTATTTTTAAAATAATTTCGTGCTTTAAATTTCTGGATCCTCCCTTATAAATATTTCAACATTCAAATTATCATATCTTTATTAAGTTTTTACCTGATAAATCTTATCTTATCTGTTTTTTGAAATATAAATATTATATTTTAAGTTTTTTTATCTAATTGTTGGCTTCCATTTTGTGTGAATTGCTTATTGGTTAGTGCCACGTTTTGTTATAAGAGGTAAGTCCACACAGATTTTTGGATTTTAAATAGGTACTGCTGCCCTGGTTTTCAGAATCAATTTTTAGTGTGGGAATATTGGACCATTTGCTCTAAGTAGAGTCGGTGAGAACCAAATTTTGTGAGTCCATCCCCATTAACTCTTTATTGAATCCAGGCAGAGGCCTGAACAACCATTATCTGTTTGACTCCCTAATTTATTATCTCAACTAAAGGGTGTATTTTTTTAATAGAAGTCCAGACAGGTCAAAAATTCAGTTGAAAAGTTTTAATTAAAACATCTCAAGAATTTTGACACATTCTGGATTTGATTAATCTCAACCCCAGGTTTATCTAGTATCTGTGGTAGCTACCTTAATTTGAGAGGAAAATTTTGTCTATTTAGGGGAGAATCCAGAGATTTCATTTCTTATTTTTTTTACCTACCTTATTTTTGCTCGTATTTTTGCCTGCCAGAACTGTTATCAAGAAAGCAGCATTCTGCTCAATTATAACGAGCATTTTAATAATCTTGTTATTATTCTAATTTTTTTATTATCTTACTATTAATCTAAATTATTTGATTGTTTTTTTTTTATATTAAAATATATATTTTTTTCAACTTGCAATAACTGTTCATACCTGATTCTGTTGGAAGGGAGTGTCTGTACAACAATCATTTTATATTTAATTCAGTGGCGGCCAGTGGCAACCTAGTGTGGATGTGCGCTCTTGAAAATTCTTTTGGAGGTGCCACCTCCTGTTTTACATTTATTTTGTATGTTGATTTTTTTCCTTTTTCCTTTGGGAAAAATTATCGAAAACAAAAATGTATGTATTTAAACGAGGCTTGAATGTTTGTATTCTAGCCATGATATTGAAATTTATAATTAAAAAAAAAAACCGCGAACAACAGAGTTGTCAAACCGCCAAAATGGTGAAAAAACATCGAAATATTCTCGATTGAGTGGAAACAACATTGGAAGTGTGTATTCAAATAGCGCACGGCGCATCCCTTTCATCGGGCGACTTACCGTATATTCCCGATCAATCGCACAGCGAGAAAACACATTTACCCAGAGCGCCGAACGATTCCACACCGACCACCCGGACCACCAGCACAACCAAGCGGGAGAAAAAAATATACAAGACAGGCGCAGGGCGCGCTTTCGTTCCGTTCGTGCGAATTTAAAAATAGAAAAATGAGTAGATATTTATCCTAATTTAGAAAATTGGGTAGGTATTTTTTAATTGAAGTTTCTTTTCTTTCCAAAATTTTAATTTTATTTTCTTGCTTGGTTTTTGGAGGCAGTGCGCGCGCACGAGCGCACTTATTGAGAAGCCGCCCCTGATTTAATTTCAATTCAAATTTTCTCTGCAAGACACTCATTTTTTTGACAGAATTCATGGATTTAATATTCCAAATATTGGTGAACCTGATACTGCCTTATTCTTTTCTGGTACCTACTCTACATAAAGATCACTGTTTGGAGTCTGGATCAGCTGGAGTGACGTCACTCCAGCAATCTATCCTCTTCCTGGATACAGGAAACAACACGAAGAGCTCCAGTTCACGAAAGTGAAACCCCAACACCCATTGAAGAGCTCCGGATTGGAAAGCAGGTACTTGGTATCAGATTTACCAAGAAAAACCAAGCTGTTAACATTGAAATTTTACATAACATTGTAAACAAAATAAAATAAAATTATTGTTTGTTGGATGTTGAGTAGTTTCATTTGCACACAAAGGGGCTACACGTTATCTTAATTTTTCTTTGAATTCACGACCCTAGGTTATCTTTTCTTAAAGTATACAAATTCCACAATTTATTTGTAACAAACATTAAAGTATATTAGCCAATTTTCAAATTAATATTTATCCAAGTATGTATTATTAGTTGGAAAATAGAATATGTTTTCAATTTTGAAAAATATTCTAAAAATTAAATAACACCATCTACAATCAATAATCTTATTCTAAATCCAATTCTCCACTGGAGTTACAAGATTGGTCTACTTCTATATCGATAACAGTTTTATTCTCAGATTTGATAGTACTCTCTGATGAGATCTCAAGATTTCCAGGCTTTGCTGAACTACTTTCACCATGACCTATGACGTCAGTGAGAATGGAATATTGGGGTAAGGGATAAATATTGTTAAGAGGTTGTACAGTCTTTTCTATTACCATGTTGTTCTCCTGTTTTTTTATAAGGCCTTTGCCCTCTGATACGGCATCAAAATTAGTCTCCATTAAATCATTTTCACTTTGAGTCAGGGCTTCAGTCCTGATGGAAGTTAGATATTCTGAAGATCCACTATCAACGAGATTTTTATCTAGTAATGCCTTATGTATCGTAGCTGTCGCTGGGCTATTTTCTTCACCTTTGACTTCAGTCCTTGAATTTTGATAGTTAGGAATATAATTTTTATTAAGGTCTTCATCATCTAGTAAGGCCTCAGAATGTATCACTACAGCAGTCAATAAATCACTCTCTCTGCGATATAGATCTTCAGTCCAGCTGATATTTCGGGAGTAGCATGGACTATTATTTGGGACATGTACCTGATCTTCAGTTCTTGAATTGAGAGATATTGTGCTTGGCGCGATATATCTGTGGAAAAGCAGTTTCGATTTGAGTAAATGACTTCAAAATCGGGCGCCGGGAAAATCCTACCTGACAATGCATGATCTTTGCCACCAACTGTACCACATGAGGGAATAGGTTCGTAGAACCGAACTAGCCCATAAGTAATATCCAAAAAAAAGAATTCCAATCACCAAAAGTAAGCATACGGCAGTCCATTTTGAAGGTGAGGAAAATCTTTGATGATCATAATATTCTGAACTATAAAGGCAGATGTATGTTACTATTATGGTTAAAGGATTTACAATCTGAAAAAATATAAATTATTAATTGATTTTTTGATATTCGAATTTTAAATTTACTCCACAAGCAATGACGTCTCCCCTTAGACTTCTTGCAGGATGCCTGGAGCCACATTTAAACCAAGTCCAAATTGATTTAGTTGAAGTATACTTTGGGGTTCTTTCAGTTGTGAAAGATTGACTGCACAGTTCACAATATGTTAGTCCTGATTCTCCTAGCCATGTTTCGAGACAGGAGCGATGAACAAATGCCATAGTTCCCTAGGAAAGTGTTTCAATTATCGAGAGAATAATATTTTTTTATCAGGGTGTCCTAGGTAGAAGTAGCTGCATGGGGTTTTCGGAAACGGTAAGAGATACAATTTTGGTAAAGTGGGAAAAAAGTTGCGCTATTCCGAGCCCAATCAGATGCTGTATCAAAATTGAAAATATCCACAGTTACAAAGCTATGATAACAAAACACAATTACGGCATTTGTTTCACAACCAACTAAGTGAACCGCAAACTTTAAAAAATGACGACTTTTTTACCCTCAATTCTTAACGTTGAAGTTCAATTTCACAGACATCATTTTCCTGTCACTTTTTTGTCCGGCTGTGACATGAGTGTACAAAAAAGTAACAACCACAAAACCAGTAAGCAGAGCAAGCTAATTTCACGTTTTTCTACATCTAATCCTTTTTGACAATATTTATTTCCTTGATTCCATCGGTTGAATATGATTTGAACACCGTTTGCGGGAAAAATCGCATGTTTTGGAAACCCCTGTGGATATTTCTGATTCAACAAAATTTGTAATGAGCCAAAATTGCCTAACTAATTCATAATTATTTTTTTCCATTTGAGATTTCTTCAATTTTGTTTGCCTTTTTCTCTATAAAATTCCAACAATAATTACAGCAGTTGCAGATCCTGTAAATTTTCTAATTTTCAATATTTAAATTCTATTTTCATTTGTTACTAATGACTTTCCCCGCTTTTAATCAATATTTTATTTCCAACTAGCTAACCCGGCGAACTTCGTACCTCCTCTGAATTATTAAATACCTATTAAATGTTGTGTTAACGTATCTATTAACTGAATTAAATTCAGTTTTTTTCGATGGTGAATTTGGCTTTGGCCGAAGAAAATTAATTTTTACTCTCTGGATCAGAAGTCACCTAAAATTAAAATTTTACATCATCCCTTTTTAGGCATCTTGTGGGCATTATTCTTATAAAGTGTACCACCAAATAAATAAACTCAGGCACAGGAATGTTCAAAAAGTATAAAGAAAACAAAAAAAGTCTCCAGCGCAGCCCTGTTTTATTTTCTCTGCACTGCATGCACTGCAATACTCCATCTATTTTACTGTATCTGCACTATTCTATCTGATCAACTCTTCTGCACCACTTTATCTGATCGGAATAGTGGAATAGTTCTGTTCAGAATAGCTCCAGTTCCTTAGCAGTATTCTGTTCTACTGTATCTGCAATGAAATTACCTTGCAACGGCGAGCTTCATTCTAGGTACCTATCATATATGGCGCCGTATACAAAATGGTTGTGGCGGACTCATAACCTGGCTCTCTGCCACTCGACACCAGCCGGACGGAGCACTCCGAACAGTCGGCCCGGAACACGGCTGTCAAGAGATGCCTAAGAGGAGAAACGGAACTTAGCCACAGAACGTCAATGGTCAAGCGTCAAGAAATGACAGGTAGACCATTTCGCGCTCTTTCGGAATGAACGAACCAACAACAAAATAAAATACACAATTAAAACATTGTCATTCTATTTATTTTTGGACATTTTTACTGTGAAGAACAATTAAAAATAAAGTGCTTTCCTCAAATTGTTTTTGTGCAAAGTGTGTGACAATGAAATCCACATGGTTTGCAATGAAAATGTGACGGTAAACTTGGTATCGGTTATAAGAGATGGCGCCGTATGTGGGCTTAGTGAGTTTTTTTCATAAATAAGTAAAATAGATACAATTTTTTTTTGTTTTTTTTTTGATTTTTTCGATTTATTATCCTAGGATGGACAAAGACAAATCCAATAAAGCAAAAATCATAAAAATCAGTCCAGCCGTTCTCGAGTTATAAGTGCTCAAATACCAACACAACTGTGTTTTATATATATAGATTTAAAATTCAATTTGCATGTAAATAAATCCATTATTTCTGGGGTTATGTTCAAGTCCTGATCCGTTTTCAAAGTGCTTGTACCGTACTACTCTGTTCGGCTACGGAACTCAGTGCCAGTTTTAATTCTGCACCCCCGGTTCAATCACTGGTTCCATACACCACCGGATTGCTATCCTTGCTCTCTATTTTATAATGACACTTGATGCTTAAGTCAAGTCAATCTTGATTGAGATGCAAATCACTGACTTTTGAAGTATCATTAATTTTTGTCAACTGGCTTTCGATTAGTAATGTTTTTGGGATGGTCGATTCCTGTTAAGCCCTTTAGTTTTGCAACACGGATCGCTTACTCCATGTCCTATTCTCCAAATTATAATTGTTCTATTGGATAATTTCTTGTTGTTATTATCATTAGTCGTCCGCTGTTGTCATTTTTCTCTGATTATATTGTTGTGTGCAATTTTTAGTAAGTAAGAATTCTATCGATTAATTTTTGACGTTTGTCGTTATTCTGAATCATCTCTGAATCCCTACCCTTAGGGCAGCTTTTCACTAATGATTAAATAGAAAAAGTCAGAATTCACTGTGGGAAAAAAAAACGTGCAAAGCAACTTACCACATAGAGTTGTAAAAATCCGAATTAATCGGCGAAAATTAGGTATAAGACTTTACGAAAATTAAACACAACGTAAGAAAACTCAATGCGCTATAAATTCAATTAATGAGAAAATTAGGTCCAAAATCCCTTTTCAGGGCGAAGAAAAAATTTAATTCTTCAAGAAACCTTATCTCTAAAGCAACCAAAACGTGAAAGAGAAAGATTTTCACCTAAGGTTTCCCACAAATATCCAATCAATCAGCTGTCTTATATTTTGAAGGATAGACCTATAGCAGAATAATGACATGTCAAAAATTAATCGATACAATCGATTCGATAGCAGGGATGCTATTTCTAGTACAATTGTACTAGATCTAGCACCATCACGACCACTAAGTACGCTAGTACCTCTCTCATAAATCTAGTACAATTTGGATTACGAGTCGAGTGTCGCTCGTCGCTCTGTACCGTACCCGAGTTCTGAGTTCTACTCTCTACTTGTGGGTTGGGTTCCACGTTCCAAGGATCAGGTCCCACTCCGGTGCGGCTAAAGCCAAACAAGAAATTGGCGTTTCGAAAATGGTTTCGAACGCACTTGCACTTTTTCATTCTGTGACTTGACGTGTTTCATATCATATATCGGGGGTGACTCGGTTATTCAGCCGATCACGGTAATCGGTAGTGGATTTGATTTATAACGAAATATGTAGAAATTTATTTATTTCTATCTTTTAGGACCGGTTTCTCAATAGCGAAACACCGCAGAGTTAACTGGGTTAAGCATAACTCCAGGGTTAACATTGCAACTGGACACGTTTACCCTGGAGCTAAAACCAACCCGGAGGTGACTCACTATTGAGAAACCTACCCTGAAACAAGTGATATTTACCCCCAAATAGCAGAGCCTACATTTGTATTCAAATTTCAAAATTTGACGCGCTTTCAGCTAGTACACAATGTCGCCAATCTAGTACAATTATTTCCTACTTTCTGGTACAATTTTTTTAGTGCTGATAGCATCCCTGTTCGATAGTATTCCCACGCACCAAAAATTGCACACAACAACATAATCAAAGAAAAATTACAACAGCTGACGACTTATGATAATAACAAGTAATTATCCAATAGAACAATCATAATTTGAAGAATAGGACCTAGAGTAAAATAGGGAGCAAACAGAGCAATCCGGTGGTGTATGGAACCAATGATTGAACCGGGTGCAGAACTAAAACTGACGGCGCTGAGTTCAATAGCCGGACAGAGTAGTTCGGTACATACACTTTGAAAACGGATCAAACGGTTGGGAAACATAACCGCAAAAGAAATATTTTTGACAAATGGATATTTGTTTACATGGAGATTGATTTTGAAATTGAATATTGATTAAAATCGAGGAAAATCATTAGCCTTCACAAGAACTGGTAACAAATGAAAATCGAATTTAAATATTGAAAATTAGAAAATTTACAGGATCTGCAATTGCTGTAATTGTTGTTGAAATTTTATAGAGAGAAAATGTTAACAAATGTAAAGGAATTTTGAATAGAAATCTGAAAATAGGTAAGAATTAGTTAGGCAATTTTGGCTTGTTACAACTCCCCCTTTCCTACAATAGGAAGGAAAGTTAGAAAGAAACTTTTCCGACGATAATCTTCGGAAAAGGTAGGGATTCAGAGATGATTCAGAATAACGACAAACGTCAAAAATTAATCGATAGAATTCTTACTTACCAAAAATTGCACACAAAAATATAATTAGAGAAAAATGACAACAGCTAACGACTAATGATAATAACAACAAGAAATTATCTAATAGAACAATTATAATTTGACGAATAGGACATGAAGTAAGCGATCCGTGTTGCAAAACTAAAGGGCTTAACAGGAATCGACGATCTCAAAAACATTACTAATCGAAAGCCAGTTGACAAAAATTAATGACACTTCAAAAGTCAGCTGTGATGCAAATCAAGATTGACATGACTTAAACGTCAAGTGTCATTACAAAATAGAGAGTAATCCGGTGGTGTATGAAAGCAATGATTGAACCAGATGCAGAACTTAAACTAGCACTGAGTTCCGTAGCCGAACAGAGTAGTACGGTACAAGCACTTTGCAAACGGATCAGGATTTGGACATAACCCCAGAAATGATGGATTTATTTACATGCAAATTGAATTTTAAATTGGAAATAAAATATTGATTGAAAGCGGGGAAAATCATTAGTAACAAATAAAAATATAATTTAAATATTGAAAATTAGAAAATTTACAGGATCTGCAACTGCTGTATGTTGGAATTTTATAGAGAAAAAGACAAACAAAATCGAAGAAATCTTAAATGGAAAAACTAAAATAAGTATGAATTAGTTAGGCAATTTTGGCTCGTTACAAATTGTATCTTTTACCGTTTCCGAAATTCCCATGTATAAAATAGCTATTTTTATGTAGGACGCCCTTATAGATATACCTTGCATTGACAGGGAGCCATCAATTCTTCAGGTTTTTCATTATCGTAACATATCCGACAACGAACTGATACCACCGAAATCGTTGAGGTATCAGAAACTTGAGACTCTTTTGTTAGGTAATTTGTAGATTCTACTGAGTCCATTTCTAATAATATTTCTGTAGGTACTTCTGGAAAACATAATAATAGAGTAGCCGGCGGTAGGCAAGACAGAAGAGTTTGCTTGTCGTCCATATGAAAAATTTGTTTTTAATTTCCGTTTTCTGTGATGTTAATAGGGAATACACAGTGAACTTTCTGTTACTTTGTTATTAGAGGCGCGTACCATTTGACTAATAATTGTAAAGAAAATCTATTCAATAATAACTCGTATTTCTTCCGTAAGCTGTTCAAAATATCTGTTACTAGCGCGAGAAATCCGAAAATGAAATATCCATTAATATACTAGGAATTGAAATATATTATGGAATTGGAAGATGAAGTTACCTATACCGGATGACCACGAGATTGCTCACCAAGCTGTATCTTAAACATGGAAATGGATATCGATTTCAAATTTTGGGAATGTATATCAATAAATTTATTTTCTACTTAACCTTTATAGATCCATAATATCTAGGAAACGAAATACGTTAACATACCTATAACAACCTAAGGGCATTATAAGCCCAGCGGGCGTTATGATCTATAACGCCCGCTTGAAATACCCTGGGGTGTTTTTGTTGTTGTTATATTAATTTACACTTTACCCTAGGCAGCCACTGAATGTCCGACCGAAAATAATTTTCGGTCTGGCCAGGATTCGAACCCGGTCTACCATCAACGTTTCCCATGTAGTCGAGCGCGTTAACCCACATAACCACCGTTGCCTTGTCTTATGAGTTGTTTATAGATATATTAAATTGTTTCGTTTCTAGGTACAGGTACATGTCAAAATACAATACGATATTCTGTCACACAAGTTTAACTGATTTTGTTTGATACTAAATTGATAAAAAAAACATTGTGTTGAGTAGAAAATAAAGCATTGTATGCACCACGGGGATTCTTAGATCTGAAATATATCCCTCGGGCCAGAGGCCCTCGGGCTAGTTTCGCCTTCGGGCATTATAATCTACATAATCCCCTTGGTACACAAATAGCTATTTCGGATTCTACGAAAACTTCTTAGCATATATTTCATGTAAAATATTCTACATCTAACTTCAACAGTTTTCGAGATATTCGCGATTAAAAATGTCACAAAATAATTTCGATTTTAGTTTTGACAGAAAACAATTGATGGTGAGATAAGATATTATTTTTTTTTCCCTAATTGCATCATTTATTATGATGATTGTTATTGGTTTTATTATTTATTCCATATTTAATTTATTGTGCAAGTTCCCTATTGTCCCGAAAATGTTTTGTGTTGAAATAAACTTGGAAAAAACACTCACCTCTGGAGGCAAATTTGGGTCAGCAAGGAGTACAAACAACTCACTAATAATTATTCAGATTTCTTCAATTTATAGCCTCTAAGCACAGTCTTTGAAAAAAATGCCATTTCATTATGTGACATTCAAAGTTGACAGTTGAAAAAAAAAAATGTCATGTCAGTTTCGAAGTGTGACTTTTCCAATGGTGGTTACTTATAATTATATACCATGTTCATGCTTCTCGTTAAACGTTAAACGTTTTAACAGAAAACGTTTTACTATAAAACGCTTGTATAAACGCCCCATAAACCGTTTGATCTCGTTAAACCGTTTTGATTTAAAACGTTCTGAAAACGTGTTTCAACCAATTTTAAAACGGTTTAAATACTGCGTAAACATCTCAAACCGTTTTAAGGGAGTGCCAGCACTGCTTGTTATGACATTTGAAAACTGTTTTGGGGAAAGCCCCATAAGAGTATAAACACAGGATAAAACGTTTAAATTTCGAAAACGGTTTAGCGGTTAAAACGGTTTAGCGGTTAAAACGGTTTAGCGGTTAAAACGGTTTAACGGAAGCATAAACTTGGTGATAGTCTAAAGTGCCAGCGCCGAAACAATTCTCTGAATTTACTAAAGCTGGTTTTTAGATAGTTGGTTACAGTAGTTAAATACATAAATATAGCGCGGCCAGTCAAGCGAACCTTAGAACAAGGACCTAGGGTGTCTTGTTGAAGTTGTCGAGATAACTTAGGTAATGCAACGAAATTACTGAAGCTGAAATTCGTTATTCATTTTATGTTACGGTTAATATGCAAATTTGGCTAGTTTGTAAACTAGCTGGATAGTTTACAAACTAACCAAATCTTTGGCTATTTTGATATAAAACGCAATTTCCGCTATAATAGCAGCTAGTTTGCAAACTAACCAAGAGTTTTGGCTAATTAAGAGGGGCGTTTAAATGAAATGTCATTTACAGACCTTCACAAATTTCTGTTCAATTTCAAATTTAGACCACTTTTCAGTGAAATGAAGTTATGTTCATAACAATAATAGATTGGAGTATGAGTCGAGGCATTTTTGGTTGCAAAATACGCAGTCTAAATAGTAAAATTATTACCAATTTTGTTGACAACAGTATGCAAATTTTGGTCACGGATTTTAGCACACCAATAATAAATTTCCAAAATTTCGGATCGTCAATTGCTGGAATAAATGAATAGAACAGAATTTACGAAAATTATAATGTTTTTATAACAAAATTAATCAAAATCTGCCAAATAAGGACTGACAAGGAGCTTATTGCTGTCATTTACAGCAGAGACTCAAACCAAACGTGTGTTCAGCGCTTCTTTAAAAGATGTCGCTGAGCTCGGGAAGGGTGGTCACTTATTTCAAACGCCAGTAAAAACTGTTTTACCTAGCTAAAAATGTGAAGTACTATTATTTCATTTGTATCTGAATAAAATTATTTAGTCCCCTGTAAATTACTGTGTAAACGAATTGATATTGAAGATGTCACCATCTACTTGTAAATAAGTCAATCACTTACAGAGAATTTGAACACCTGTGATTAAAAAATATTTAATGTATGTCATAAAACCCAAAAGATGGCGCGCTAGCTCTTATCTGACGCCCCTCTTAACTTGAAATTATTGAGGAAACTAAATTAGCTGGTTAGTTTATAAGCTATCCAATGCAGCCTGGCTAATTTGGAAACCATGATTTCTCTGTGATACAGCGCAACTAATGATGTTATTAAAACTCATGCGACCAATGGAGGCTTAACAAGGTTAGGTACTTGTTGAGGTGTGTGCCCTTATCGTAAGGGTTTTTTAATAAAACGTGTTGATTTTTAATTACTTTTATTAATAATGCATCTTGCTTGACAAGAATAAAGAACAGAAGTGTCTCTCTCAACCTCAACAGAGCTTGCAACAAGAAGTGAATGACTAATGACAATAATGACATTTCTAACATTTTACAGTGTTGCCGCTGGTATTGAACAAAATCAAATGGCCGATTAAATAATAATATAACACAATGCAAATAGATGGCGTGAGGTGTATTAGATTAATACAAATATTGAAATATAGGTGAATGTAATTCAAAATAAAAATATTGGACGCAACAGTACTGCTGTTTGACCGATGCAATCAATAACAATTACGACAGAAATCGAAAGTCGATTCACTTAATTAAAAGGCCCATTTATAAACTTGAAGTAAAGATTCCGTTACCGTTTGCGCCTGCCGTTCTGAACTCAAAAATTTAGGATTCCATAAGATCGTTTATATTCGCCGTCGGCCTCAGCGTCCGCCGTCAGGCCTGCTGTTTTATTCCGTCAGACATAAACCAATTTTATCTTTTCCGTTGCTCGTAGAAACGTCCGTAGCATGTTTGATGCAGTCAATCAAAACGGGTTTTCACCAGTAATGTGATTTCTACCACAAATTTCATCTGGAGTCAAAAATAAAACGTCACAAGTACCTACTTATTTTATTATTTTTTTTAAATTTCAAAATCTTGATTATGCAAATTGTTGATCTAACTTCCCGCGGCTCTCAAAAATTATTTGTTTTAAATTGAAGAAGTAGTCCATTTCTCAAAGTGGAGGTGAAAATTTAATTCCAAAAGAAAAACTCATTTTGTTGAGACTCTTTGCTTAGTCATGATCTTCTCTACAAGATTATTCAAAAATCTAAGATTCTTCAAAGAAATTTATTTAAAAAAGAACACAGTGATGTACTTTTACTTCACTTTATTTTCATTACAAATTAATTAATTAATGACCCAACTTTTAATTTTCCTCTACAAAATGCTTCATCTGGCCGCCTGCAATATCCATCACTTTGTTTGATTTCTGAGCTAATTAGCCCCTGATGATGAGATTCTAATAATCTCGAAACATGTTGGGCTCTTATTAATTTTAATTTATTAAAGTATTTGTGGAGGAAGACTTCGAGATTTTCTTTTGGAATTATTTTTTTTTGTTCATTAGCACACCTTCATTCGAGAACAGTTAAAAAGCACTCAATAATTTAAATTAATTTCTGAGAAAACATCTGCTTTTAAGTTGTAACTAATTTGAGATACTGACTTACTAACTTCCCCGGCATTATAATATTTTATCAACCAAACGCTTTTAAAGCCTAGGTTTAAATAATAAACATTGTTGGAATAAACTCCACAGCACTTAGTTAGAAAGTTATGATTGCGAGGGGAATATAATTATTAGCATAGAATTTTAGTTTACCAGAAGGCAGAAGGTATGGCGTGCTACGAGGCACTTACAAACTGCCCAGTTAAAATGTTTTATTATAATATCGATCACAAATTTGGAATATAACAGAAATTTGTGAAGGTCTGTAAATGACATTTCATTTAAACGCCCCTATTAAATAAAAAATCAGCAAACGATAATTGATAATTTTGGAAAGGAAATAAATAAGGCATATAACTCAACTAAATCTTGACATAGGTAGTATATATTTCTACAGTCAGGTTAAAAATCAAGTGTTGAATAATTTCAAAATATGAAATCAATTGCTGGTAAAACTATTCAAATAAAATCAATAAATAGAGGTTAACTCTCAATCAGTTTCATCAAATTAAAAAAAAAAAGATAATAATACAATGTACCTCAATATACTTGCCATATAAGTTCATTAATAATCGCTGGCCATATCATTAATTTGAAATAAAAATATGACGGATTTAACCTTTGTGCTACCAAGGTTCTGAATGAACGCGGAATAC